GCAAATGGCTAATTTTACAGTTTTTTAATAGCAGGCTTGGGGCTGGGGTTGTGACTCAGTGGTAGAGCGCTCACCTAGCATGTTACCATACGGCCCTAGGTTCGATCCTCAGCACCACATAAAAATAAATAAATTAACTGAAGATATTGTATCCAACTACAACTAAAAAACAAATATTTTTTTAAAATATAGCTGGTTTATCCTTTCTTCTACTTTCATTGGTTTATAAATAAAACTTGTTAATTAGTAACACCATATTCCAAAATTAAAACTCATCTAAAAGATGTGCAGTAGAAGCTCCATCTATCCCATTTTCCTCTCTGTCCTTACACAGGTTTTAGATATTGTGTACTTTTTCAGATTTTCTTTATGCAAATATACCAAATACAAACATATATTTTAATCTCCTTCCTGATTTACATAAAAAAAATACTTTACTCTTTTTGAACTCTGCTTTTTCCAAATAACAATATATTAGGGAAGCTTTCCAAATCCTCATATAGAAAACATCCCCACTTTGTGTTGATTTGTAGAGTATTTCACTGTATAGATACAACATAGTTCATTTAACTAGTATCCTACTGATAGACATTAGGGGTGTTTCCAATCTTTTGCGACTTCAAACAATGTTACAATGAAAACTCCTAAACAGATGCCATTTTGTAAATATACAAGTATATAGGTAATTCTCAAAACTCGTGAAAAAGGTAAATGTGGTTTTTTTTTTTTTTTTTTCCTAGAAATTGCCAATTTGCTTTCCATGGGAGTTGTGTCATTTTGTATTTCCACTACCTATGCATCTCAGATGTAGCATGGAAAAAGCTATTTCCTCTCGATGAGCCTCTAAAACACATTTAGGCAGCTTTCAAGGACTAACTGAAGCTCTTTATTCATTTTTTTCTCAAACATATCTGTAAAATTTGTTGGCTTAGTAAATTTAAAAGCAAATAAATTTTCAAATTTAAAAAACTTTCATCAGCACAGTAAATCAATGTTGATGCTTAATGTGCTAGGATAGCAACTGTCTACTTTTCTAACCAATATCTCTTGTGCTCTAAAAATAAATATATTCCCTACTACAGTTTTTTTAAAATTCATATTCAATTGTTTACAATTGTGAATGCAATCAAATGCATATCACTTTCAAAAATATTTTTCTGAAATATTTGTATGTTTTCATCAAATCAAATCTTTGTTACTTCTATAGTTTTCTTTAAAAGTTGTAATTTCAAGGGCTAGTTAATCTTATGATTGCCATTTTCATTAATCAGTGTCACCTAAAACATTATTTTTATTTCAGTTTTCATCCTAACAAAGTAACAAGAAAACAAACATATCTACTGATACTCCTCCTATTTGAAGGAATCCTTAAGTAAATAGTTTCAATATAACTGTTTTTATCAGAAAACATGTAAATGAAAATCTTTACTCCTTCAATAAGGATACAACAATACATAAGCAATGTATTTTGCATTTCAGTCATTCAGAAATCAATTGTGAGGTTATCTGAATACCCTGAAACAAAGTGGATGACCCTAAAGAAAATTTTTTAAAAGTTGCCACACATTCTACGCATTCAGTTAGTAGAAGGGACAAAAACCATACTTAAAGTTTCACCTAAGTAATGTATAATGTTAGGCAAATGTTTTGTCTTTAAATATAAATCAACACAATGCCCTAACAACAAATGGCAAGAATTACCTAACAAAGGTAAGATAAAACAAACAAAAAACCCATTACAAATAGCACCCCAGATAAAAAGCTTATCCATATAGGACAATTTTGTAGGCATCTGATAGGACATAATGGTTTCTGAGGAAATCATTTTAATTCTGTAAAATGCTTGATGTTCATAATGACAATATTGAGCCATTTTTTAAAAACCTGAAATTTATTTCAGTTTTAGAAAACAGATATAAATTGTATATTTTAGAAAAATATTCATATAAAACAAATTGAGCACACATAAGGGTAAAATTCAATTACCCAGAAAAATAACAGGTGAGGAATATGCCAATTAAATTTCCCCAATGAATGAGGAAATAAAGTAAAATTTCTTATTTAAAATTAGCATATACTATGGCTTGCTTTTGGAAGATGAACCATAATGGGTTCATTATCATTTTAGAGGTTATTTAGCATACAACTGCCTGTGCCAAGCCAGATCTTGGTTAATAGCCAAAAGAATATTTGATCATTTTTAAAAGCTAGATGGGCAAATTTCCAATTAAATAACTAGGAAATTCAAGAAAAAGTCCTGATTTTACTTTATTTACTTTAAGTTGTAACTCCCACTAGACAGGTTGATCTGGTTTCTAGCCCCAGTTTGCTAAATGTCCTATTCAAGTGACTCCATCTCTTCTAGCCCTCCTTAGTCAAGGAATTATAGAAAATATGATATTTTAGAAAACAGAATGAGTGTGCTAATAAAGTGAAACACACAATTACTTCATTAGGTCATATATATAAATCTATACTACTTCTATATCTACCTATATACATTTTATATTAAATTATCTCAAACTTTGTCTCTTCACCATATATCTAAGGAATACAATAAAAAAGTTAATAACTACTGCAGAATCCTTTCCAACATTTAACATTTGGTACTGTCAAAATAAAACAAGTTTCTCATGTAGTCATTTAAATTCACTTAAAATATCACTGTAATCAATTTCCCTGATATTATTTTCCAATCTAAAAATAAATTACTTGTTATCTGACAAATTTTTAAAAATTGATATGTAACCAGGGTATTTTTTAAAGAATGTTTACAGCATACCATTTATAAAATCCAAACAGTAGACACAACTCAATTATCTACCAATAGAATGACTAAATAAAGTTAGGCATATTTACTGAAAGAAATAATATATAATAATGAAAATGAATGAAATAAAGCTACATGGATGACTCTTCAAAATAAAATGTTGAGCAAAAGAAGAAAAAACCTAAAATTTCACAATAATCAGCTAGAGGCAAAATGTAAACATGCTGTTTGGGAATACATAGGAAAGTGTTAAAATTACATAAAAATTATGAAAATGATTACCACAAAATGCAAAGTTGAGTTACTTCTACAGAAAGGGAAGACTTTATATATATCAAATGTTTCTGGGATATAAAGGATCATTAGTATGATCATTGGTTATTAATGATCTTGATCATTTCTAAAAGCTAGATGGGCAAACTTCCAATTAAATGACTAGGAAATTCAGAAAAAAGTCCTGATTCTACTATATTTCTAAAAAATTGTATTGCAATATTTAAAGTTTAATTACAACTTTAAGTTGTAACTCCCATTAGACAGGATGATCTGGTTTCTAACCCCAGTTTGCTAAATGTCCTGTTCAAGTGACTCTATCTCTGTGGCTATGTGGATGGTTAACAAAGATAATTATTCTTCATATTATGTATATATATTTCTATACCATCTTGTATTTTATAATAGAAAGTTTGGAATGATATACTTTCTGAAAAACAATAATATGTTCCTTCAGGTAGGAAGATTCCTCTTTTTGCTAACAACAATTTTACTTTCTTGGCCTATATTTCTAATTTTATTGCAATATTTAAATAAGAAAGAACTGAGTTACTGTGCCTGATTTTCCACAATCTTAATTAAGAACAATTTCACAGGCTTTTGCAATGGCAAAAAAAAAAAAAAAGAAAAAAGAAAGAAAGAAGAAAAAAATGGCTTTAAAGAGTGTAAGAACAGGGATCTGGGCATGGTGGCCCATGCTTGTAATCCCAGTGTCTTAGGAGACTGATGCAGGAGGATTGCAAGTTCGAGGCCTGCCTCAGCAACCTAGTCAGGAACTAAGCAACTTAGCCAGACCCTGTTTCAAAACAAAAAAATAAAAATAAAAAAGCATTAATAAGCTGGGTTCAGTTCACAGTACTACCAAACCCCCCCAAAACCAAAAGTATAAGAACATTATCCTTCTTTTTTTAACACTTTTTAGTTGTAGAAGAACACACAGTATCTTTATTTATTTTTATATGGTGCTGAGGATCAAACCCAGTGCCTCACACATGCACTTTTACCACTGAGCTACAGCTCCAGCCCCAAAACAGTTATCCTTCTTGATATTTAATTATTTGCTCATTGTTGCTTCTGTCATTTTTCTCATTTTAAACATTTGAAAAGTTCTAAATTATATCCAGGTAATAATTTTACATAGGTTTCACTCTAAAAAAATATTGAATAATTAGCTTGAAAGTAAGAAGAATTGCTCTTTTAACTCTCATGCTTAAAATCAATATTGGGAGCACTTGCATATGTATACACAATGGAAGAGTCCATAATCAGTCAGTCACAGACATCAGATTTTAAGTCCAACCCATGTTCCACATGGATCATTGTGTGTACTAGAAAACATTATAGCTGGATTATGGGATAGATACATAAAACAAGTTAAAGTTCACTGTACAAATTGCAAGATAGGTTGATTCATTCAAAATTGAAACAATATGTTCTAATGTACATTACACAGAAGCAATTTTAAATATTTTCTTTAGAAAAACAAAAGCACAAGAAGTTGAAATTATTAAAATAGATATCATCAACTGACTTGCATAACAAAAAGGTACGTGCAGTTTCGAAAATCCTATTAATGCCCACCACCTACAAGAATTTTTCAATTATGTTTGCTATAACTTAGATGACACTAAAATGAAAGCAGACAATGAAATTTGGAAACAAGACTATCAACACCATCATCAGGCTCTAGATAGATTATCAATATGATGGTAGTGGTATGGCACTATTATTATAAGAGAGTTGTTTTCATTGTATACTGTTGTGTTTTTTGTGTGTGTGAATATAGCAAAGAGTTCCTTCAATGGGTCCTGTTATAACCAGTTCTTTGCTCATCTATTAAGTGCCAACTTTAAAAAATTACCTTGTGTCCAGTAGGGAGCAGCATTACAACAGCCATAAAACTTAACTGGAACATAAAACCGACAGAAGAAAAAGGAGGGGAAAAAACCCCACTTACCATACGTCTGTTCTATAATACATTCACTTTTAGGGTAGTTGTAGGGCTTCCAGGAAGAAATCTAAAGAATGTCTCAAAGCATATGTGGGTGATACATGGTTTCAAGATTCCTAAAGCAGGAAATTAAAATTTTATTAAGTAAAAGTTCTCTGACCCAGATAGAGCTGAATTAATATGTTATTCAATTAAAGGTTTCTCAGTTAACAGTTTACAGTGCATCTTAGTGGGTCAATGGGATTTTGGGCTTGGATATTCAATGACACTTCAATTAAAAAAATATATTAAAGTCCATTATCCACCAGAGAGTTTGAGTATAAGAAGAAAATAATTGGGTAACAACAAATTATAAGATATCAATCCACATAGAAAGAACTGTGGTCAAAGAGTTAAAGAAAATGACAAGGTAACCATAGACACCTCTGATATACCAATCTCTTCTAGACTTTGACAATTTACAAGCAAACAATTGAGAGGATATAAACATTTACTTCTACAGGTCAGTATGATATGAGATTAATTTTGAGAACGAACAGGTAATAGAGAAGTAGTTTATAATACTAATATGTAAGACTGATTAGTCAGATCCTTACTGAATATGAAGACTACACATGACATTGCAGAAAAATCTCATCACCAGTCATAATCAGACAAAGGCAAACATTATATTACGTTTGACACTGACTCAAATGTCAAAACCTACCTCACATTCAACTATATTACATCAGCGCTTATAAGAAAATGCTTTATCTCCACTTCTATTTAAATTGTTAAATAGTTTGTTTTATAGTTTTTTCAGTGTCCACACCAAAACCAAATTTCTGCTTTCAAAAGAAGGTAACATAATAATATTTACTTTTAAGTATATATGACTGCATATGCCTTACATAATATATATGATGCATGAAAATATTCTTAATAATAAAATATTTATTTAAAGCTTAAATAATGTTAAATGTTTCTTACTATTTTCTTCTAGCAAAATAACATGAGCAGCTTGACTTTAGTGAATAATACCAAGAATATATTGACTCCAGTAATTATCATTAATTTGACTGAAGTTGAAATAAATTCTAATATTTTAATTGTACTATACCTCATTTTCTGCTTTCCTTAGAGGTTTCCTTTTATCCTCTCTTTGACCTTTCTTTTGTGCCCTTCACTTTTCTGATATTCCTCATTTCTGTTGATTTATCCTCTCTCTCTTTGATAATGGATTTCATATATACACACACACACACTATATATATATTTCCTTTTTGAGGCAATGGGAATTGAACCCAGGGGCACTCTACCACTGAGCTCCATTATATCCACAGCATTTTGTGGTTTTTTTTTTTTTGTTTGTTTGTTTTTTGAGACAGGGTCTTGCTAAATTGCCAAGGGCAGACTCACACTTGGAATCTTACTGTCTCAATCTCTTGCATAGCTGGGATTACAGACATATGCCATTTCCACTCTAGTAGTGGATTACTAGATCAACTCCAAAATTTGTTTTAGTCTTACTCTTCCCCTTATGAAGCGACCACATTTTCCCCTCTTATATTAGGACCTTTAAAAATGAGTTGTCCTTGTAACAGCAGTTTACTTAAATATATGCTTTCTTCTATTACAAACATTATGCATGATTTTAACAATCTCACCTAACTGGAAGATTCAAGTAAATACACTTCAATTATATTTTTGCAATTCATTATTTAAATATTGAAAAACTCACTAAACATTTGATTCCAATTTGAATCACCAAAAAATCTCAAGGAAATCTAATTTCACTCACTCATTCCAATCAACTGGAGACCACCTCTGTCCTAAAAAAATAGTAATTTAGGATCTTACTACATTGATGTGAATAAATACTGAGGAACAAACTTAACTTTAAGTCAACAGGAATTTAATGCTGTTTAATCATATGTGTCAATACACATATGCACATATACAATATTCCTAATACCCCTTATTTCAAAATATATTATAAAGTCTGACAAGTGATTTCCTATTTAGCACTCTCTAATATGAATATTAACATTAAGGATATTAGTTATCCTGTGAAGTAACTTCAATAAAATAATTATTCACAAGTTTTGAATAAAATACAACATATTTAACTATAAATGTATAATATAATTACTTAAAACGAGATTGTAGTAGGTTAAGTGGTGCCATCCTCCCATACACAATTAATGTCCTCCTGAAACCTTAGATCATGACCTTATACTGAAATAGTCTTTGCAGGTATAATTAAGGTTAAGGATCAAAATGAGATCATACTAGATTAGAGAGGGCCTAAATCTAATGAGAATGTCCTCATAGAAGACAGAGGAGAACACACAGGGATACAGAGAAGAGGATAAGTGAAAATAGAGGCAAAGATTAGAATTATACTGCCAGAATCAGGAATAACAGGAGTCATCAGAAACTGAAAGGCAAGGAAGGACTCTTCCCTCAAGGCTTCGGAATGAACAGGGACTTACTGACATCTTGATTTCAGATATTTGACCTCCAAAATTGTAAAAAAAAAATAATAATTTCTGTTGTGGTAATTTTTTATGGCGATCTTAGGAAATTAGTGCAGATTTTGGTAACAGGTAGTGAGGTGTTGCTCTAATAGACACCTAAAACAGAACAGCCTAGATTGCCTAGAAGAGACTGTTGGTAGAAATAGAGTTATTAAGGCAATTCTGAGAAGGGCTTGTAAAGATGTAAAGAGGAAGACAGCAAAGCTGTCTCCTTAGAAATACACATTGTTAGTTGCGGAGCAGGCTAAATAAATGTTGGGTGCAGGGTGGGCGAACACTGGACCCTCACCCGTCTGGTTCCTTATCACTTGTTTGCCTCAAGTCTGAACACTCAACTCCAATCAAGGCTGAACACTGGACCCCCACCTGTCTGGTGCAAAGGAAACCCACATCTGACCCTGCTGCATCTGCCTGAAGGCAGAAGATAACACCCTTAGCAACTACAGTATGATCCAATCACTGTATGCCAACAAGGTACCTTGCAGACCCAAAAACCCCATTAAATTTTGGCTATAAAAACTCTCTCCTGCCAGGCCCCCCTCTCTTGTGCTCTCTTTCTTCTCTGCTTTCACTCTCTCTTACTCTCTCTCTCTTCTCTTTCCTCTCTTCTTCTCTTTCTCTCTCTTGCAGTTTGCTCTCCAGGCCCCTCTTGTGCTTTCCTCTCTCTCTTTTCTCCTCCTTCCCTGTTAATCAGACACTGCCACAATAAAGATCTCTTGGTCGCTCCAAGTGTCGTAATCACTTTCCCTTCACATATGTTTTCAAGAACTAAATATCAACTAAAGCATACTATGAAGAAGTGGTCAAGTATTGCAGAAAAAATATTTTCTGAAGAGATGAGGTGTGATACTAATGGCTTCAGTCAACCATCTCAGGAGAAGCCAAAAATAGAAATGAGGTTATCCAAGAAGGAGATGTGAAGAACCCTGTGGTCGTATGGCATGTACCCCCTGACATTCACGGAAGACGCATAAGACTTTTGACAATGTTATATTAGTAGAAACACTGCCATCTTGGCAGGAAAAAAAAAAGAAAAAAACTGGATGAAATGAAAAGCTGTAGAACTCCCAAAGTTCTTTAAGCAGAAAATGGACTAATAGAGTTACTTTTCTACAAACATGTACTACTCTTCAAGAAGAAAAGGGGGAAAAATAACTTGTAGAATCATGGATGGAGAGGTAAGGTAAACTACGAGCAAACCAAATTTGGCAACATATTAAAAGGTTTATACACCATAATCAAGTATGACTGATTCTCACAATACAAATTCTCAAAATACAAATTTTGTTTTGACATACAAAAATCAATCAGTATAATATACCACATCAACAGGAAAAAAAACAGAAAATCATATCAATAGGCGCGCGCACACACACACACACACACACACACACAAATCTGACAAAATTCAATGCCGTTTCATGAAAACAAATTCAACAAAGAATAGAATGAAACTTCCTCCAACATAAGCAATAGATGAAAAAAACCACAGCTAGCATCACGCTTAATAGGGAAAAACTAAAAAATTTTCCCATTGGATCAAGAATAAGGCAAAGACACCAGTATTTGCCAGTCCTAGTCAACACAGTCATTAAAATTAGGCAAAAAAAGAAAATGAAAGGCATCCAAATTGGAAAGGAAGAGGTAAAATTATCTCTGCAAATAACATCATCTTATATGCAGAAAATCCTTAACAAGCATTAAAAAAATTCTGGTAGAACTAATAAATCCAAAAATTTGCAGGACAAAATTCAACACATAAAATCAGGTGTTTTTCTATACATGTGACAATTAATAATCCAAGAATGAAACTAAAAATCAAATCCTTTATAATAGCATCAAAAAAGAACCAAATACTAAAGAATGAACTTAACAAGGGGGTAAAAGACTAGTACACTGAAAACTACAAAATACTGCTGAAAGAAATTTAAAATGACATCAATAAATGGAAAGAAATCCCACATTCATGAACTGGAAGACTAGGATTCTTAAGGTGACAATAGTACCCAAAGTAATGGACAAATTCAATATAACTGCCATCCAATACCAAAGGTATTTTTGTAAAAAATAGAAATGCATCCTAAAATTCATAAGTAATGTCAAAAGACCCTGAATAGTCAAAACAATCCTTAAAAAGAAGAATCTGGACAACTCACACCCCTTGATTTAAATTTTAATACAAAATTCTATTAATCATGGAAGTTATGATGACAGATCTACAGACCAATGGAATAAAGACTTCATAAATAAGCTTTAAGATAAATGGTGAAAGGATTTTCAACAAGGTTGCCAAAATAACTTTTTGTTGAAAAGGACAGTCTTTTCAAAAAATGGTGTTGAGAAAACTAGATATCAACATACAAAAGAATGAAGTTGAACCTTTACCTTATAATATATATATATAAATTTACTCAAAATGGATCAGAAACCTAATCCTAAGAGTGAAAACTATAAGACTCTTGGGGGGGGGGGGAACACAGGGCAAAGTTTCAATGACATTGGATTTGGCAGTGATTTCCTTGATCTGAAAAACAAAAGAAAAAATAAATTGGACTTCATTAAAATTAAAAATCTTTTGATAATCAATGAATACCATA